CCATCCACCCATGCAGGAACTCTTCCATCCTCCCCGTCTAGCACGCCCCTGGGGGCACACAGACCCCGTCTAGCACGCCCCTGGGGCACACGCCCAGAGCAGAAGGATTTACAGCCTGCAAGCTCCCCCACGTCTAGCTTCCTACACACATTTCACCAGCAAAGACCACCTGAGGGCACTGTGGACAAAAGCATCCCCAATACGAGGCCTCTCCACAAGCCATAAATACAGGTACTTTGTTTTAGTCGCATCAAACAGCAGATTATGCTGTCTGTAGAGTCACTGGGGTCCTGCCCTGTTTGGAGCAGCTCTGAGGAGACCGCTTGTCTGGTTCCTGGGGTCAGTAGTGACCCCATCGTGGCTCCTCTGGAGTCAGGGACACTGGTACTCTGGTCATCTCCATGGGGCCTGTTTGCCCTCAGTAGCTAAACTAATGTCATTAGTGGAAACAACCAATAATCTGTGAATAAGCCCACTGGGCAGCCCAAGTCCCTTTGGGGACATTTATTTCCCAGCCTGAAATTCTTGGTGTCTGGCCGCTCTCTGCTCAATCACTAGCCAGACTTCAAGTCCTTGGGTTATGCTATGGTGGGGTCTTCTAATCTTCAACCATTGAAGGCAGGTCCATTAAACCTCCATCTATACCAAGCCCGCGATAGAATTTAGAGTGAGGCCAGTATCTTTTAGAAATTAGCAATGATGCATTAGCATCATTCTTAAAAGATTGTTGAGTTCTAATTATTTTAGGCTCCACTATAAATTTTGACTGGTTCAGAATTTTCACTGCAGCCAAACATCTTTCCACTTAAGTGTGTCAAAGGTTGAACCGTGGTCTTCGGCTACGGCATCTATAGATGCACCAACGCGCACGTATGCACGCACGCACCCGTGTCCTTCGTCTTATCGCGTGACAGCTCGTGCACATGGCCGCTGATCTGTGTGCGCAGCCCCTCGATGACCTCATCCAGGGCTTTGGCGCAGCTGTTGTCCACACTGATGAAGAACTCGAACTCCTTTTTATTCAGGCGCGACGGCCGTGACTCGATGTGTGTCAGGTTGATGTTCTTCTCCTGCGGGTTGAAAAGGACACTCGCTGCCTTAAACACAAGCTTTCCAGGCGTGAATCCAAAGATGAGCACTGCTATCCCATCAAGATGGCTGAAGTCCTCAGCGGTGTATATACAGTCAGGCTATAGCTGGGCCATTTAATACTATTTAGCTAAAGTAATGATCTGTTTATCTTTAACTACCATTAATACTTGGAACACGCTTTGCCCATTTTGAGGACATTACTACATAATGTACACTGTGTATTCATGTAGGATTCTCTAAAGATCAGACACCTAAAATAGTTTTACAACTTTCAATCAGCCCTCTACTCCACCTGAGTCCACCAACCAGGTGCCACAGGTCTCGTTTATGGAGGAAGGAGAACCTTTGCTAGAGTAAAGGGCTAAAGAAAGCAGGATCAGCTCTGTCTGGAGATCCAGTGGCCCTAGTATCTGACTCTGAAGAATTTCAGCAATAATAAAGTTTAAATAGTTCACAGGCAATCATGATGAAGACAATGCAACAGTAACACTTTATTTGAAGCTGTAATCTATAATGCATCATACATACCTTCATAATGCATTATAATAGTCAGTATAAGAATTAATAAAGCATTACAGCATCTTCTATTGACAGTCATAAGGCATTATAGTGTTGATTATAATACTTCATAAACTCCAGTGAAGCTCTGATTTATAATGCACTATAGATACCTTCATAATGCATTATAATAGAATTAGGGATGCTTTGTACTGTATTATGAATGTGTCTATAGTGCATTACAGATGAGAGCTTCATGGAGCATTCATAATGCATAATAAACATGATGATAATGCCTTTTTATAAATATTTATAGCCATGTTTATAATGCTTCATGAATGCTTTATAATGTGTTATGAGTGTGTTCCTAGATTCTTATAGACATGGCATTCATAGAAAGTATTATCAATGCAAAAAATGCAAAGAAAATCCAGCCACAAACACGGCATGAATGTAATTAAGGCGGGAATATGTTTAATTTGTTTAAGGAAACTGACTTATATGGGATTTACGAGTGAATGAACGACTGTGGGATGGGGTGGTGTTACGTCTGGCTGCTGCGTGTGTTTGGTGTGGTTGAGAGGAGGAACTTGGCTCATTTATCTTGTAGGCGTTCGCTAGAAACCGCCCTTTGACTGGAGAGCCGACAAGTGGGAGCAGCAGCTAGCGAGTGGCCATTGGGCATTTGGAGGGGGTGTGGTGACAGTAAGGCAGGACCGTGGCATGAGAGTGAGTGATGCTGGGGAGCGTGGGGTGGAGGAGGTGGTGTTGAAAGGCAGAAGCTCATTGGTGCAGATGAACCTTTCATGTTTACTGCAGGACAACATTCGACTCATACTTAGTATTGATCTTAGGTGGAAAGGCCAGATACACACGTTTTTTTTTTTATAAAGGTGCTACACAAAAATGTGTTTTTGCACATGTATTATAAATGATAAATTATCATTATAAATCAGAGCCCTAAAATTCCCACTGCAACCCTAATTAAGTCGGAAATACTGAACTGCTCTGCATCCAGTTGCCACGACCATCTATGCTTTTGATCGGTCACAACATAACAACCCACAACATCCCAAAGAGTCATGAGAAAACAGACAACCTTGTTTTGATACTCTATCGCAATTTTGGAGATGATTCAAAGAGTCACAGCCGTGCACAAAAAAAATCAATGTTTCAATAGTGTAAATATCCAAAGGACAGTCCAAAATTGGAGTAGGGCCAATGTGTTGCTTTGATTCTAGAATGTTCATCACCTGCATGAGAACCTTTACATCTAATAAGTACTTCTGCTATGGCCTGATTCAAATTTTGATTTCCTGTATCCTGGCTACAGGATCACTGTCTTCCCCTCAGCTGTTAAAACGCCGTCAACTCTCCTGACGTCCTCGGATGGATGCTGGCTCTATGCAGACACCCCTAACACCAATTGCAGATTCCCAGGAAGAGCATGAGAAGGAGCAAATCTGGGATAACTCAAAATGACCAAGGAACAATCCCTTCCCAGTTATCGCCAATAGGGTTTTGTCTGAGTTAGAACTTTGTGAGGTTCAAATTGCACAGAACTGGGCCTGAGGTAACTGCTCCAGTACATGAACGTAAGACACTGAGTCACTGACATTGAGACACACCTCTTAATCACTGAATTCAGGTGTTTCATTCAGACTCATTGCCACAGGTGTATAAAATAATAAACCAAGCCATGTAGTCAGTTTTACAAACATTTGTGAAAGAATGGGTTATTCTTATTCTGAAGAGTTCAGCAAATGCAAGCCTGGTACTGTCACAGGATGCCACCTTTGCATTAAGTCAGTGCCTGAAATTTCTTCCCTGCTAGATACTCCAAGGTCAACTGTAAGTGGTATTATCGCAAAGGAGAAGATTTTAGGAACAACAAAAACTCAACTACGAAGTGGTAGACCATGTTAAGTAACAGAGCGGGGTCGCAGAGTGCTGAGGTGCGTGGTGCCCAACACGGTTGACTTAAAATCTAAAGAGCACCAAACTTCTTTTGGCATTAATCCCAGCACAAAACTGTGCAGCAGAAGCTTCATGGAAAGGGTTTTTAAGGTCGAGCATCATATCACCAAACACAATGCCAAGCGTCAGATGGAGTGGTGTAAAGTACTGTACACCGCCACTGGATTCTGGAGCAGCGGAAATGTGTTCTGTGGAGTGATAAATCACACTTCTCTGTCTGGCAGTCTGACGGATGAGTCTGGGTTTGGCAGATGCCTGGGAGAACGTGACCTGCCAGACTGCATTGTGCCAACTGTAAAGTTTGGTGGAGGAGAGATATTGGTATGGGCTTGTTTTCCAGGGGTTGGGCTAGACCCCTTGGTTCCAGTGAAGGGAACTCATCGCTTCAGCATACCAAGACATTTTTGGACAATTCTAATGCTTTCAACATTGTAGGAACAGTTTGGGGAAGGCGCTTTTCTGTCCCAGCATGACTGTGTCCCAGTTCACAAAGCAAGCTCCATAGAAACATGGTTGGGTGAGCCTGGCGTGGAAGAGCTTGACTGGCCCACATAGAGCCCTGACCTCAACCCCATCAAATGCTTTGGGATGAACTAGAATGGAGATTGCGAGCCAGGCCTTCTTATCTAACATCAATGCCTGACCTCACAAATACTCTTCTAGATGAAAGGGCAAAAATTGTCACAGACACACTCCAAAATCTTGTGGAAAGCCTTCCCAGAAGAGTGGCAGCTGTTATAGCTGTAAAGGGGGGACCAACTCCATTTTGATGCCTATGGATTTAGAACAGGATGTCATGAAAGTTCATATGGGTGTAATGGCCAGGAGTCCCAATACTTTTGTCCATATAGTGTAGTCGGGCACAGAGCTCTGAAAAACAGCTCAGTACTTCTGTAGGCAATGCATACAGCTTAAGTCAGCATCCAAAAGCCAAGAAACACCATCTGCCTCTAATGTACAGTTCGTCCTATCAGCATCAGCAATCCTACCACCACCCCCAGCAATTAACTCTGCTGTAAGTGGGTGGGGAGCCAAGATAGCCAATCATGAGCTGCCTGTACAGGAGGTTGCACTATAGCAGGAAATATGACCAAAATGCAACCAATCAGTGCTTGGCAAATCCCCACCCTCACCACTTTCCTGTGAAATCAAATGCATGCATATTTTTACCCTCATAATGATTTGTGTCCCTAGACTCCACAAAGACTCTGGGCAGTGCCTCTTGCACCCCATTTCTTGAAAACAGATGCCCATATATAAAACGCTCTTGGAAAAAAAACAGCCTTGTTGTCTTTCAAAAAGTCTGTCGAAATAACATCTCGATGTCTCACTGAAAACACATTGTTTTACTTCATCATTGTGACAATACAACCATAACACTAGCAAAGCATCTGAATGGCGCATATTTGTACATGCGCAACACCATTAAATGGTTTCTCGCTGTATTACATATTGTCAGTTAAAACATGTAAGCTGTATGTATCTTTATTTATATCTGCATGCGTGTGTTTATGTCACACGTGTGGGTGTGCGTGCATCTGCGCACACATCACCTACCTCAAACAGTCGGAGGGCTTTGGCCAGGGACCCCACCCCCTCTTTCAGGGAGAAAATGCAGGACACCACCCCCACCTTGTTGGTCTCCTCCTCAAGATACATGGAGCTCTGCCAAAAAAAAAAAAGAGAGACAGGCACACGGTACTCAGCTGTCATGACCGCGCGGAGCACGGACCAAGGAAGCAGGCGACGAAGACGAGGAATCGGGAGTAAGGGTTTTAATTGACATTCGGAGATGCAGACAGGACAGAAAACGGCATAACACTACAATGACAGGACTAGGAGGGGGGAACTCTGACGCGGACTTAAATACACCTAACTAACGAAGACAACTCAAAACAGCTGATAAACACTGGGAAGCCACATGAGGTTAACGAGGGGGGCGTGGCACAGGAGGACCGGCACGATCGGGGTGTGACAAGAGTTGTCACTTGTGAGCTGCTGTCTGAAGTCACGTTAATTCCTGCACTCCACATGTAGAGTCAAGTTAGAAAACTAGCAACATAATAATACCCACAATTTATCTAGCTGTTCGCTTCTACTCAGAACACGGTCGGTTTTTGCCCGTGTTAAGTTGTTATATATTGTGTGGTATTGCACTGTTATATTAATTATATTAATGTACATAGCTTAGGGTGACCAGATAATCCATGTCAGGGAGGACACTGTGAGCTAGTACAGGTATTGTAAATTACCATTTCAATTAAACGGACCTGGATTTCACTTGAGCACTGAGTTCTTGCTGTGTGCTGATTGGTCAGTCTCCTATAATCATGCATGTTTCACTAATGCTAATGTGAAACAGCTGGATGAGTCTTTCAGTCAAGGAAATAAACCAGTCAAAGCACAAGAAGAGCTGAGCTATTTAGCCGAGCACAGGAGCCTTTCAATTTGAAAGTAGTTTGTAAAACCCGAAGTAGCTCAAAGTGTCCTCCCTGACATGGATTATCTGGTCACCCTAACATAGCTGAACAGCAAGCTGAAAACCTCTGTCAGGTGCCGTTCTTCTTGATTTGCCCCACACTGGAATTGCGCCAGTCACGTCAGAGGTAACAGGGACCACAAGTGACGCAACAGGTCCTGACAAAAGCAATGTCCAGCTGTCCAGGCACTGCCTGTTTACACTGAAGAATGATTTACAGAAACGCACAGACTGTCTCTCCGGGACACGTTTTTTTAAGTTGTAACCGAGTGATCGCCCAGGTTGACGTTGACATTTAAAGGTGCATGCTGCCTTTTTCCCAAAGGCATGTTATATTCAAAGTCAGGGCAGCAAAACAGCTGGGACACAAGACAATGATGGCTACATGTACATATCCGGTGAAGATACGTAAATTCCCTCGTGCTTAACCTGGCAAAGACGTGCATTTAGATTTCTGGGGTAGCAAGATGAACTCTATAGAGAAAGACACATCACTGACATTTATAGATTATGGATAATAACTGCAGCTTTCAGAAGACGTTTGTATTTTCTTTTAAAAAGTTATTAGAAAGTTTCACATAAATGATCTAAAATAAAACTTCCCCTGCAGGAAAATGCAACTACTCCCGATAAATAAATAACCAAAAATGCTGAACATTTCCCAATATCCGGGCTGCTACACAGTATCTCAATTTCTCAATAATTCTGTTTTATGAATGCATATTATTCAAATGTGAGTAATATATCACGAGGCTGTCGGCTTAACTTTTTTGGCAAGTACTAAATAATCGGTCAGGGCAAGGATTCATGCATCATAACTTTATGCTGTTGTTTTGTCCCTCCTGACCAGTTAGGGCAGTTTTTCCAGTCAGGGATAGGGTTTGGACAGCTTTTCAAAGTGCAATACAACGACACTTTTTGTAGATTTTCAATGCACCGTCAAATTTATCCGTTTTCCGTATATTAAATTCTAGTCAAAAATGGCTATTAATTAATGATGGCTATTAATATAATTACTTTCCTAATATTTGCTGAATAACAAGGAAAAAATCATTTTCGGCAGTTCTTACGAATGCAGTGCTAGTTAGACAATAACGTTTACAATCTATTGACAATAATTTTTATTATTTGTATTAAGTGTCACCTGTACGCCATTATCCAAGCTGGGTTTGCGGAATCCAGCGTCCATCTTCCAGCTTCAGTAGTCCTCTCCCAGCAACGTTAGATACTGCTGTGTTTTTGTGTACCTCTCCCACCTCACGCCTTTTAAACCTCAACACGTGACACCACACCCCCTTTTCTCCGTGGTTCTGCTGCACTTGGGCCTGTCTCGAGCTGGGAAGCCGACTTTGCGACACATCTGCTTCTTATTGCTCACATATGGGTGCGTGCAGCATACACGTTCCTCTAAGCTCGTAAAGCAACCAGACACCATCAGTAACAGTGTGCAGTATCCGGTATTACGAACTCCCACAAAGTACAATGTTTGTAATATATTCCATGACTCAATAATTAATAAACTTCTCATTCTTCAAACTGGCAATCTTATGTACTGTAATCATATAAGCAAAATAAAATAAACAAACAAAATAAGCGCGAACTTGCTGTAATGCCGGTGTTATGCCGAAAAAGGCATCCCTGCCGTAGAATGCATGCATGTCTCTAAATGACCGATTGGTCGCTGATCTGAAACGAGTTGAGCTACTTTGTCGAGTAAGGCTAGCTAGCGTAGTGCTAATCAATAGCCCCAAAAAACCCGTAAAACTCTAACCCTAACCCCCCAAAAATATCTAAAACCCTAACCCCCAAAACCCCCCTAAAACCCTAACCCCCAAAACACCCCTGACCCCCAAAAAACCCTTAAAAGCTCAACCCGTCGGAACACCGGCATACATTCTAAGGCAGGGATGCCTTTTTCGGCATAACACCGGCTAATGATTTTCGTATATTTGAGGCTGTAAGGTTATGACAATCTAGTCTGACTTTTGCTGTAGGACGCTTGTCGTATTATTTTTATATAGACTGCAACTTTCTGAGGTTCTTGAATGCATAAAGATTTAAGCAGAGTTGGTTGTCAAATACACTTAATTTGTGTCCGGCAAGCAAGTGTGGTTCTAAGGGGTTGTTAGGGCCTCCTATCAATACAGTACGTCTGATGATGGCCACCCCGGCCACCCAAACTTTTCTGCCGGCAACTAAGCCTACTTGACAATTGGCTCGTCACTAGTTCAAGTGCTATTGTGCATTGCAATCTAGTGACACTAGATGGCAGTAAAAATTAATATTTGGAACATTGTCAATATAGTCATGATTTTAAGGCGAGAAAAGTTCAGCACTGTTTCTCTAAATTATATTTACGCCCAAAGAACGGTCACGCACGTAATTTGAGTGTTAACTAAACATATAAAATGATATAGGCCTAGAGTATTTTGTAAAGCGTTATTCAAATGCACAACCCGTTTCGTAAAATCGATCTTTAGGTTTTTGTGATTGCCTTGTTTTGTTTTCGACGTTGCCTTTTTATAGAGTGTTCTAAAATAATTCATGCATATTTTAAAACATATCAAATTATTAATTCAGTGATAAGTTGCCTTATTAGTTGACAATAAGTCGACAGTTAAGTGATTGAAAATTTGCTATTTCATAAGAAGGCCTATTGAAACCCACAAACGCCAGGTGTTCGGAAGCACATTCGATTCCAGTCTTTTCCATAAGTATCCACATGGAATGCTATGTTTAAACGATGGGTCTTATGGGCATGAAACAAATATAGGCCAATAAAGATTTGTTATACTACTTTGTCCTTGGTTTTATTGACAGTCTGATGGGTAATTTTCTGACCAGTTCCTCATATTGAGCTAGATTAGGCTGTGGTGATTAAAACAAATAACTATGACGTTTTAAAAAAAAATAAGCGAATACTACCTCTGACTGTAGCCTTTGCCCAGCAGAGTACCCGTCTCTCAAGACATGTGAGGCTGTCTGCTAATTGCCAAAGTCCTCTTGAAATACACAAACGAAAAACGACGTTTTCATGCTCTTAGTCTTTATTGGATCTTTTCATTTGAATGTCCTCAATGACAACGCTCGCGTAGTTTACAAAGGCAGTTCTGCAAGTAGGACACTTATTTTCACAAACCGATAGGCGGCGCTTGCGTTCTATTTTACGTGGCTGGCTTGCTTCAACAAGTGTGAAAGCTGTGCTTTAAGAGTCGCATGTAGCATGACTGATTTTGTAAAGCACCTGGAATCGCACCTGCCTCCTCTCTTCCCTGTTTAACAAAATAAATAAAAGACGGCGCCTTCTTATAGTGCGGCCATGCGGTTTCCCTGCCTATTTGATCAACACATCTATTCGGATTTTTTATCAGTTACAAATCGCTAGTTTAAAGAAACAAAAGCAATTCAGTGTAAATGCCATCTCGCCATATGTGTAATGGAAATCACTACTTGACCTAACATTTGAGATCCCATCTGAAGTTTCCAATAGACTACAAAAATTATTAAATTATTCTGTTATTAACGTGTGAACTATATTGTTCTCGACATGACTAAAGCTTTATGAAAGGAATAACATGCAGTCAAATATAGACACTCAGCATCCCAAACAACTCCATAGTACATGTTCTGGACTGAAAGTATATTATCATGGCTTTCTTGGCTTAACCAGAGCCAAGCGCGCGCCCAGTCGGGAGGGGGGCGCGTGGCTGCACAAAGGGACACACGACCGGCTGTAGCCGCAGCTCCCGACTTTCGTCCAGTCCACTTCAGCCCTCAACAATATAGTTTCCATCACCCTCGCCTTTCCTCCGGCGCGTTCAACCCACAGCTAATCTGCGAACAAACTGAAAATTAATGCAGGAATACATCCGCATAGAGTAGCCTATATATAAAAAGATTTGCAATTTAATATAAGCAGACTCGGGTTAATGGACGGTGGGTATTTGGATCGTTTGATTAATGATTCATTACCAGAATGAGAAATTTTTCTCGAACAAAAAACATACTACGTTCAAAAGTTTTAGTAGAAAACACCTGCTCCATAAGAGGAAAGCAAGCAGCTCGAGACAGAGAGAAGACAAATTTGGTCCATTCCCTAGTTCGACAAGAATTGGACGCATCAGAAATTAAGTCAACGTAGTCTTAACAAGTAGCAAATTGACAATAAACACTGCATATTTTTGCAGACTGTGAACGGGACAAATGGATACTGATGAGTTTTGATTCACAGAGTTTCGTTCGTCCAAGCGACGGCCGACTTCTCAAAAAGTAGGCGAAAAGGACAGAGCTATTTCTATACAAACTCAAGCGTCCAGTTGTCATATTAATTATTACACCAAGCCATGACTGGAACCGTCCAAATGGACGGATCTCTCTCCCTCTGCTTCTGGGGGAAACGTAGAAGAAAGAAAGTCTTTACACAGCGCTAATTGGACTTTGGAACAGCGCTGACGGCGCATAGTAGATAGGTTTCAGAAAGCCGCGCTATTGTGTGGGGGCGGGGCATGGGACTGAATAGAACCCACGCTTCTTTTCTAAACTCTCTTGCTGTGCCAAAAAAGAAGAAAAAAGAAAAGAAAAGTTGGAGGATTGGGGGGAGGTCTTGAATGCTGGCTTGATCTTGAATGCTCAGCCAACACAGAAAAATTGCACAATTTATTGTATTTTTTTCTCTCTCCCCTCCAGTCATTCATCGTTGCCATGAGTAGAGTCGGTCGGTTTTGTTCACCGTGAAAGACCTATTCTTTTTATTCTTCCTTTAAAAAGAAAAAAAGTTGTCGAAATACGGAGTATCTCGCCCACTGTAACAAAATAGGGTGTAACAAATCGTACACAAAACTACTTCTAATGCAAGGTGTTTTTGGAGCGCCGCGTAGCTTTGCCTCTCCGTTCCGCCTCTTCGACGACGATGATTAGTTTTAGTGAAAGTGGAAAATGCATCTCTAGCGGACAAAGCGCTTTTCTCTGGGGGACTCCCGTGTGCCTCTAAAGCTCCAGCAAATATACGGGCAACTTAAGATCTCTCTCAGCCTGCATGACAAGCATCTTATAAAGACGCGAGGATTTCGAATTTAGCAAATCCTCTATACCTGATGCAAATGCAATAGGAAAAAAAAACAATCTAGTTTTGACTTCGATAGATTTTCTTCAGCGCTTTGGGATACCGTTTTCTACATAAGTGAATAGAAAGCGCTGTCTTTCAGCACTACTGTTGAAGGACAGTTCGTAACTCAAAGCCCAAGTAGTCGAACGGCGTTGCCTCTACCTTGTTTGCTTCTGTCGCCCTTAACTCTGTTATAAACATTAAACGTTTGCATATGTGTTCTTGTAAGTGTTTTCACAGAATTTGATATAGATTTCATCTAGAGTTCTTTCAGCAGTATAACTACCTTGCCCGACAAACCGCCACTAATGTTGTTTTTATATAAACAATAATTAAATGCAAGAGACATGACATTCTGCTGTCATTTATTTCAGAAAAACAAATGCAAATTTATCACTGTGCAGCCATTATTCAATAGTTCGAAGGAAAAACTGTTTAAAAATTTTGCATGGAATCAGATAGTCATAAACTCCCCGGAAATATACTCCCAATATAGCTATTGGCCTATATATTTTTTAAGTATTAATTTCAAAATGATGCATGTGTAAAATGCCATGTGAAGATTTTAAGTGAACATCGCAGTCAGCATTTACGCCTTTCAGTTGGACGCCAGGACGGCATCTGGTTGGAGTCTGGCGGTCGGTCCCAGTTGTGCTTTAGCGACTGTTGTTTATTCAGGGGCTGGAGTGGCACGCGCCCGGCGTACGCATTGCAACAGCGTTCGGAGCGCAAGGTGAATACAATAAGCGCGTGGAGGCGTGGCCAAGGCCAGCGCGTGGGGCTGCCAGTGTGTTGATAAACCCCGCTAGTACCCGTTCACAGCACTCATTGCAGTTTTGGAAGTGTGCACGGCAAGAGCCCACACGACTGCCAATAAAAAGATTTAAGTGTGCACGTTGAGTTACACGCGAACGCCACGAGCTCAACGTGCTTCCTTCAAGCAATCCAAAGCGGACTTCGAGGTGTCCTTATCCAATTTATCTTTTTCTCAGCGCTCAAAGGAGATCGCTTCTAAGATGGAAATAACTGTCAGCCAGCAACAGTTTCTCCCACCTGCCTGCTTTTTCACCGCTGCTGCACAAAGCATCCAGCTGAGCCCGACCGACAGCCAATGCAGCGGAAAATCCGCGTCCAAGCAAGCGAAGAGACATCGCTCCTCCTCACCTGAGCTGCTGAGATGCAAGAGGCGGCTTAACTTTGCCAGCTTTGGGTATAGCCTGCCTCAGCAACAGCCACACGCGGTGGCCAGGCGCAACGAAAGGGAGAGAAACAGGGTGAAGTTGGTCAACAACGGGTTCGCCACTCTCCGGGAGCATGTCCCTAACGGCGCCGCCAACAAGAAGATGAGCAAAGTGGAGACCCTGCGCTCGGCTGTGGAGTACATTCGGGCTCTGCAGCAGCTCCTGGACGAACACGATGCAGTCAGTGCTGCCTTTCAGTCCGGTGTCCTATCTCCCACCATTTCGCAGAATTACTCCAACGATATGAACTCTATGGCCGGCTCTCCGGTGTCCTCCTATTCATCTGATGAAGGATCTTATAACCCACTAAGTCCCGAGGAACAGGAGCTCTTGGACTTCACCAGCTGGTTCTGAGATCTATTAACTATTTGTTTAACAGGTTGGTTATTATTATTATTATTATTAGTAGTAGTAGTAGTAGTAGTGATAGTAGTAATAGGAGCAGCAATAATAACAAATAACAAACCCAATTTCTGCTTTTAAATGTAGGGTGTTTTGACTGACTCTTCTTTTGTCCTTTTCAGAAATGTGATTTTTTTTCCGCGATTCCTTGACGTGCGTGAAAGTAACGCAACACACAGGCGCCTAAACGCCGTCCACGATCACGCAACACTTCGCTTTCGCTGCGGTCCACTGAAGACCGATGGGCCGAGCTCAGTGGAGGACGCGACCCCTGAATCCCGATAGTGCTCGAAAGAGGCGCTAAGAAGACATGGACACATACCACTGACAGCGTGGGAAACAGCCTCTTGGGGCATACACCCACGAATGCGATTTCCTAACGTGACTCTTATTACAGTATAATGCTACTCAAACACTATAGAAATGCTCGCAAACTATGCTAAAACCCCAATCAAAGAACTTAAAACCTTTTGTAAAATTTAATGACGTAATAATTATAACATGCTTCCATCTCTGTGGATTTTATTATAAGAAATTCTATTTGTAACAAACATATCATTTTTAAAAAATATATTAAGCTATTTTTGTATATAAGAGACATTTATAGAACTTTTGTACACATTGTTTTAATTTGTATATATCTTGACGATATGTATGGACATGCATTACCTCTGCCTATTTAGACGTGTAGTCTATATTGCTTCGCCAATAGCGATTCTGTGCATGATGTACGAAGTTTCAAAGAGGGACGAGAGGCTCTGTGTAGCTTAGCACCGACGTGTCTTATTTAATTAATAGGAAGTACCTGTTATTATGAAGTATCTCGGAGTTCACCATGATCAAAGTTTATGCAGCTATTTTCCAAACGCAGATAGCTATGGAGTTAGCTATGTCCGGCCTACTCTCCATTGCCTTCATTGCTTCTGGGTTTATTTTGAAATAACGAGAAAGAAAAGCATATAACCATGTTTTCTATATTCTAATTTCGTAATAAATTTTTGTAAAGTAATCATTGCACGTTGTATTGAAATTTGTTGAAACATATTTAATGTACATCACATTCACTCAGTCATAGTCATCAACATCAGGCCCGTTGGTGGGGGGGGGAGTCAAGTGGGCGGACGTGTACCGCCCCCTCCCCCCAATATTTAATTCGGATTCATTCATCCCCACCACCTCAATAAATAGAACTTTGAATTATAATTATTATGTAGGGCTCCCCCCAATAGCCTATCAAACTCTCTCCCACGCCACTGTCATCATCATCATCATCGTCATAAACAGAAGCACAATACAAAGCAGGTTGGTTATCTTACATTCAATCCAGAATCCCACTGCTGACACTGAAAACTTTAATAATCTTTTCTATAAGAGACACCGATACGAGATTTCGGCTGTGCCAGAAGAACAAAATGTCAATTCATGCCAAAACGTTTCTCTTGATTTTATATTGACGCAGAAGTTAAAGTCACGGCGCTTTAATTTCCATGAAATCTTAAGAAAAGGAAACGTTGCTATCATCTGATATGTGAAACCAATTTCCATGATAGTTTCACATACCCAGTTGCTTAAAGTAACATTGTGGATCTATCTATATGTAATTAGGTGATTTTATATATTAAAGGGGGCACCGTTGTTAAATGAAGGATCTAGTCCCCAGACATCTGCCGAATTACATTCACTGGAAAAACGTAGATACCAGTGGCATTTTTCATGTCTGATAGCCGGAGTTCTAGAACCTCCGTCTTTTTCAATAGGCCGTATTATACAACTTGTTAATTATATACAGCCCTGTGTCAAAACAGATCCGCCGGTGTTCATTTTATTGAAGCAAACCAAATCAGTGAATACAACAAACTGGATCTAGTCGTAAGCATATTTGAAATTATTATTTCGACGTAAAAACCTTTGGAAGGTTAAATGTAACCAAAAAAGTTATTTTGGAAGCATCTCGACAACAGAACGAAGGTAAGAAAGTTTGCATTGTTGCAGCAGATTATTTTCTTAAGAAAGGTTACAGCTTTATCTTTTTACTTATAAATATTTGAATGCATGTGAAACATAGGGTCCTTTTATTTTTATAATAGCTGAATGTACAAGGCGTGCGCCTAGATAAATGAGTAACTGGAGGTTGTATACCGGTCGGCTGAAGTGTGGGCTCTAAATGGGCTTACGGCTGGGCCCCGCCCCCGACTTCGGGTGCTGTTACCTGCACCACGAGCCGCTCCGTGCGTGCAGGCAGGTTGATTGTGGGGAAACATCAAAGAGGAGAATATGGTTGTTCACACTCCTTATCTATATATGAAAGATGCATTGCACAACACCACTTAACCCACAGTTTTTCATTGGGTACGATTGAGATCAAACATGATGCGCCTCATTAATGAATATTCAAATTTTCTTAAAAAAAGTAAAACAACCTTAGCGTTTCGCTATGCAATGGTTATATGCACAAAAGAATTCCCGTAGGCATCGGATATCGTAATCTGATATGCTCACCTTCACGTATCAAAGCAGCACAGACCAACAACGTATTAATGTCTCAGTAGCAACAAAAACGTTTTGTGAGGAAGTACGTTTCAGCGTAATGCATCATTTCCTGTAAGGAATCTTGTCACCGGGTTTTGCCAAAATTTACGAAAGCAGTATCGTTTCCCCAGTTACACCAACACTACCTCACGGGACATGGCAGCGGTGGATCAGGTGTACCGTACTTGTTTGGTTAAACTGGCTTGGTCGTCCATGCAGCGTTTAACTCACATGGTTAAAAGCCACAAAACATTACTCAGAATTTGCTTGTAAGAACATGATTGCCTTGTCAGGTGGGGTCATCCATCCTCATAATGGATTTCACAGTGGATTTTGCATAAGGCTGCTGTTGATCATTTGTCATTTATACATATCGGAATTGCAATTACATATGCAGTCACACATACAGGAGGAGAGCAAAACATTATTATTTTTTGCTCAATCAAGCATGAGACAGTCGGACAGCTTACTCTACAAAAAAGAGCAAGTTGGGGGAGGTGTAAAGACAATTATTATCATTATTATTATTATTATTATTATTATTATTATTAAAAGAGGGGTGCTTCCTGGCTTGCAAGTCAACTCCTATCACCATTTTGCACGTGAAAGGCAGGACAGTTTCATTCAATCTTAGAAAATACCCTCATATATTGAAAGGCTTGCATTTCGGTTTGGCCGAGTTCAACTGCACAAGTGACGTCGAGCAACCTTAAAAAGACTGGTTTTGGGAGGTCAGGCACTGTATGGCTCTCCAGTTACAGCAGCCATTGTCCTGAGCTCTCGCACCAAATGAATGTAATGACGGGCTTAAGGAGCATTCAGGCTGGCTGAATGCAAATCAAAGATAAGTGGAACTTTTCTTCTTTTTTTTAAGAGCCGTTTTTGTTCATTTTTCCTATCTCTACGGGCAGAGTCTGAATGTTAAACATGATTTAACTGGCTTTATTTTCCTCACACTGCATTCAGGCACTGATTGCCTGCCTATCCTGGCCCGTGATTAACGAGCTGTGGTGCAAATTTGGGGGCCATAATGACGATCCGCACGCATCGGTATAAATGCACATTCCTTGCTGCAAATTTACCAGGCTGTTGCCAGGGGAACTCAGAGAGCGGCCATGGTAACAGACTGCTAAATTGTTATCTCACCAAGAAGTGCAATGCTCAGCAGTGAGACCTGCACTGCTGCAAAAATATATACATTCCACATCCTAGGAAAAACTAAACATTTATCCAGACTACAGTCACGCAGCATTTTCTGAATTGCTAATCACATTAATGCTATTTACAGAAATCGACAAGCACAGATAATCTTTATCTACCTCATGCAAAAGTAGTGGAAGATAGGGCAGAGCACAGGGCCTGCTAGACTGCAAACTCATAAAACGTACGAGCGATAACGTCCTGTATATCTTTCATGATACCATAATACTCTTTTTGCCTTTATAGTCACTTGTGTAATAATTACAATTCAAAGAGTTTGGAAGCACAGCCATGACCTCTTTGCAAAGATTTCAGACAAAATTCACCGTCTTTATAAATCATTACAAACAATGGAATTAATTCATCCATTCTGAACTTGATTGCAAAATACAGCAGCCCTCGATTTGTTAAACATTAAAAAAAAGTCAAAAGACCTGCTTTGCAATTCCACAGAAAAATAACCCCTTTGAATTATTTATTGCCAAATGGAACTTTTCGTGACAAAAATCCATGGTGTCTGCACTGTGAATTTGCCCACCTTCTCTGCCTCTTGGACTAGAAATGAAAATTGCGTGCATGATCCTAGTTGACCTGATACATTTTGGTCCATTTTCAGTGTCTCTTTCCCGATCCAGTCCACTCCAGAGGACGACAATTAATTATCATCATTTTTTAATTTAGGCATTGATGAAACTCAACGAACTGTAAGGAGCTGCTCTGTCCTGGACGTCACACTTCTCCATTATTTGCAGAAGTTTGAGGGTATGAACTGGCTGCAGACCGTTGCTAAGGGACTATATTCTGTACCAGGTTATGTGGATTCTAACTGCCATGATTATTAAGCAAAATCTGACTGATCTTGCCTGGTAACATGTCGTGTGCTAGGAAACAATGAAACAATAAGTGAAGTAATATATCCAGGAGGTAACTTTAATAGTAATTTATGAAAATGAATGACTTCTTCATAATAATAAAAATAGCATTTCCATGATTTCTTTGTTGATCTGTGTTGGTCTCTCACATTTTGTTGGACGAAAGCAGAGGTTGTTACCCAGTGATGGAGATATAGTAACAGTTAGCGTTGACTTCGAGTTTTGAGAGCGGATTGGTAGAAGCATTAACTTTATTCTCTGCCAGCTTTCAATGCAAATTAGAGTGTTTCTTCCGGCGATATCTGCGGGTGACATTTTTAAGAAAACAAAGTGGGGAGACAGGAGAATCCATGTCCATTTTTGAGGTTTTCAGGGACTTGACTGAGGTCGTCCATCACGGGAGGTTAAAGGTTCCTGGACTCATCTAGTGGATTTGAAACAACGGAATTGTGTATGAGGACAAAAAGTGGGAGGTGCGCCAGGAAGTCGAGCAGGTCGAAGGAGTGGACGTGGCGGAGCTCAGCCCTGACGGCCTCCTCGTGCTCCTGGCTGATCCCACCAGCTTTCAGCTCCACCAGCAGCTGGTCCACACTGATGCTTCCGGCCTGGGCCTCCACCAGGAACAGGAAGAGCTGCTGTGGAGGGAAGCAGCAAGCATTAGTGGTGGTGGGGGGGGGGGTGGGCGGAGCTTTATGGTCAGGTGATAAGTTTGGACCAATGGCCTGTGTGGGGTAGTAGAGTCAACAGAGTCAGAGGAGTCCGTGTCTGTGTGGACTCATTATGTAAATGAGTGCTGAGCAGCAATGTGTAGTTGCAATGGCTCCATCAATTACTGAAAATACTGATAACAATATTTTAAAAACTTGCTGAAAATGGCATGAAGTGTCACAGGTGCTGAATAAAATGCATGAAGAATGTCGCAAATGTATAACTGCGCCTGGCATCTACGCAACCCTAGAAGCACCTGTTCTAACTAAAGAAAGGAATATTAATACACAAAGACTCATGCTTGACTGTATCTGAATGGGTCCCTCTTTGAGCTGGGCAGCAAACTCGGGGCACAAGGGCTTATCTCCAGCACAAAACGGGCACGCCGCCGTCCTGTAATTTAGCTAGGGGTTAATTGCGATCTAGCTGCGTCCTTTCATAGCAGGAAAGTATTCTATTGTGTGCAAGGGAGTGAAATGGTCCCCGGTATTTGTGTGTTTGGCGGAGCGGTGGGGGGGGGTCAAGTTACGGCGGCCCGTTTGTAGCCTTGTTTGTGTATATGCATGTGTGCGTGTGTCGTGGGCGGGGGGACCTGGGTCAATATACCGCCGCCTTTGTGGACTGTTGAGTTGTGGATAAGTACACCTGTCTGTACAGTTAAACGCCCACTGTTTAATGAAGAGGGTTCAGGGATGGGGGGGGGGG